CTGATGAAGTCAATTGGATGTACCGCATAAGGCAGAGTTATCCCTGGATGCCATCATTACGCTAGTTGGGAGCTAGGGTATTGGCATAAAAAGTTGAATACAAGCTTGTATGTTGAAGGATGACAGGAGGAAACATTACTGTAGAGCCCAAAACTAAGGTTTTCATGTGAATGTTTTTAATCTATTTTAATAAATATTGCACACAATTTATATTGTAAACAATCCTATACCTCATTAACCACTTGCCTACCAGGCACTTATACCCCCTTCCTTACCAGGCCAATTTTCAGCTTTCAGCGCTGCCGCACTTTGATTGACAATTGCGCGGTCATGCAACATTGTACCCATATGAAATTTTGATCATTTTTTTCTCACAAATAGAGCTTTCTTTTGGTGGTATTTAATCGCCACTGGGCGCTTTACGTTTTGCGCTATAAATAAAAAAAGTGCAAAAAATTTGAAAAAAAAAAAAAGTTTATTTGTTTCTTTTATAAAATTTTTCAAACAGGTATTTTTTCTCCTTCACTGATGTGCGTTGATGAGGCAGCACTGATGGGCACTGATAGGCGGCACTGATGGGCACTGATAGGCAGCACTAAAGGGCACTGATAGGCAGTACTAATGAGGTGGCACGGATAGGCGGCACTGATAGACAGCACTAATTAGGGGTCACGGATAGGCGGCACTGATATGCAGCACTGATAGGCGGCACTGATAGGTGACACTGATTATGGGTACTGATAGACGGCACTGACTGGCATCACTGCTGGGCACTGACTGGCGGCACAGACTGGCACAACCCCTGGGCACTGACTGGTGGCACTGACTGGCAGCACTGCTGGGCTGCACTGGTGGGTGGCACTGGTGGGTGGCACTGGTGGGCAGCACTGGTGGGTGGGCACAGGTGGGTGGCACTGGTGGGCACAGGTGGGTGGCACTGGTGGGCACAGGTGGGTGGGCACAGGTGGGTGGCACTGCTGGGCACATGTAGGTGGCACTTCTGGGCACAGGTAGGTGGCACTGCAGAGTGGCACAGGTGGGTGCACTGCTGGGCACAGGTGGGGGCACTGCTGGGCACAGGTGGGTGCACTGCTGGGCACGGGTGGGCGGAGCTAGTGGGCGCACTGCTGGGCGGAACTTGCGGGTGTCACTGCTGGGCACCAATCATCAGGGCACTGATCATCAGTGCCCTGATGATCGGTGCCGATCCCTGCTCTGACAACTGCCGGTTCTCGGCAGTACTTTCCTCACGATCTGACAGCGTGAAGAAAGTGCAGCCGAGAACCGGCACTTGCATTTCCCTGTGATCAGCGTGTCATTGGACACCGCTGATCACGTGGTAAAAGGCCGCTGTGATTGGCCTTTTACCACATCACGTGATCAGCTGTGTCTGGGGCGCGCAGGAGAGCGCGTTCTGGGAGGACGTCATATGACGTCCACCCAGAACTGGCCGGCCGCGGTGAAGCCGTCATTCGGCTATGCGCGGTCGGCAAGAGGTTAATCAAAGGCATTCCAAAATATCACAAATAACACTCCCTAAACATTATCTAGCAGCTCTTTAAAATTCCAAGTAACTTTTCCCATCTTTTTTCCTACACTGTAGGAGAATGAGTATCCAGTTCCACAATATCTGATCTAGATGAGTTTTACTTTCCTTTTCCAAAAAAGTATTAACAATTTATCCATACAGGTGACAGAAAATCTGTTGTGTAGACAAAGTCAATGCAATTTTATAGTAGAAAATATAGGATCAGAAGAGTAGAAATAAGTGACAGCTCTTGCATAAATTGAATGAAAAATCAATATATTCAAACAACAAAAACACACAACCATGAAGACAAAACAGACAAAAAACGGGTGTGTAGGTATCTCTTCTTGGCTCATCAGTAAATCCTGGCTCATCAATCTTGTTATGGTGGCCCACCTTGTATTTAAATCAGTAGGCATATGACTTAACATGTTCTACTGTGTAATACTGACTGAGACTGATTGTAATATCTTTAACAGTCAGACTATTTTAGAACAGTAATCTCTTCCAGCAGGTATATTTTGTCTACTCAGTAGTATCCATTTGGCCACTGGTGGGGGTCTAAGGATTTCTAGATGAAACTCTTGAGAAATGACATTGCCGTGCTAAACAAATAACAATGTGTATTATAAATCAAACATATAATTTCAGATATATAGGAAAAACAATAGTCCCAAAGAGAAGAAAACAATAGGCCCAACTTGTGAATAGTGTGGTAAGGAGATCCTGGATGTTCATAACACCAAAGTGTTTCATCACCTTGAAAATATAGAACTCCAGAGCATATGGAATCTTTATGTATAGAAAGAGTCACATAAGCTTGTGTGTCAATACAACCATCTGTTGAGGATTAGGTGCTGCCTCCAGGTCTCCACATGAGATCACCAATTCACACCCAATAGGACAGGGTAGTCAGCCATAGCATATAAAGAAGACCGGGAACATTAACATAGTGTAAAACCGTATATAAAATATTTTATTCTAAAAGTACTAGCCACTCGCCAAAAACAACAAGACCTTATCTGTAATACCAATCCCGGGATTCACATTAGGTGACATCACAATGACTCTGCCCTATGCATTTTGTCACATCTGACATCATCAGAAGCCATGCTCATCACCATGCTATTTATATACAGTATTACACATACTAGGAAGGAACCTTGAATAGAGATGGATTAGACCGCTATTCCAGCCTCACTCTGGTTTTCAAAAATGGCTGGATCGTATCCTTAAGCACAATCTAAGTCTCACTTTGAGTCCAGGCAAACCTTATCGTTGACATAATGGTAAGCCAGGAAACTAGGATAAACTCTTAGCTGCATTTAAAAGATGAGCTACAATGTTTTCTTATATTTTTGAATTGGGTGAATTGTGGAATGGCAGTACTCAAATTAAAAAAAATCACTAGCCTTGCACAAAACCTTTAACTGAAAATCTGTTGTCAGAAAACATGTATTAGCTCACACTCTCACCAAATATGAGAAATTGTGCCACGGATGGTCCACAGCTTCAACACAACAGGAAGGTCTGGGAATCCTATCTACTTAGATGCACTACTCTATGATACATTAGTATTATTAGAAGGTCTCAATGGGCCAAATACCTTGAGCAGCAATTTGGATAGCAACTAGTCACCATGTGAAAACCTAGTGGTGGGCAAGGATATCTATTCTATTAGGTCAGATTTGACAGTTTACAAAATTACAAAACTGAAGACATTTCCAAAAATCTAGAGGCATGAGAGCCTTAAAAGTATCTCAAAACCATTGATGTTCATGAGTCCAAAAATCTAGAGGCAGACAGACTTCTCATATCAGAGAGGTGGGAGTCACATAGTTATGTTGTGTAATCACAGGGGGTTCTCCACTTTTATGCCCTGGTGAGCGGCCATCCAATTGAATTGGTGAAGGGACACTTTGATTTGGAATCTACACTGAATGTTATGGCACTTGCACGTTTTACTGCCGGGATAGTTTTTTGCTCCTTGCTTCACATACTTTGTGACTGCTTTGCAAGATACAGTATATGTTTGCTTATATATATGCTTTCTAATACATACAAACCTGGTCTAAATCAGTATTATGCTATGCATTGTTTCATTTTTTATGAGCTCATGATATGAATGTTATGGAGAAAAGAGACGATGGAGATCTAATAGCAGAGAGAGGCAATGTTAACTGGTGAGGGCTGTCCATTTAAATTGGTGACTTAGAAACAAATATAGATCTTGGACATTTTGTGTTTATTAAAATTACTTTCACATAATGTCACATGTCTGCTGCTTACAGATATTATAGCAATGTACGTTAGCACAAGCTACGCCAAACTTAAGTTTCATTTGAAAAGACATTGTCAGGGGTATTGATCCTCTTGAGAACATCTTTTTGGATGAAACATACGTTGGGACAGAGCTTGTGCTGACTTCACCCCTGCTGGAGCCAATACTAGCAGTAATGTTTGTGGATTTCACATGCATTTTTTGTCTGGAATTATGTGAGATTTTTAATTAATAAATCTGTCAGAGTTAACACTATGAAAGACTGTCATGTGTGTTTCTCTTCCAGGTATGTCTTTGGAGAGGAAGCTTTGATGTGCAACCTTTTGTCGGCATGATCTATGATCCAGGAGTGGAAACATCCAACACAGAGAGTGTCTGCACACCTCTAGGCTTTGCATAGACCAGGCTATTTAGACAGACTGGGGTCTTCACAGTTGGTAAGAGGCTGTGTGTGACAGGGTGAAGGGAGCCATGGTTGTATACACAAGGATCTGTGGATGGACTTTTAATTTAATTTTATCTTGATATGTTCACATATGGTGTTACTTAATACTCACACTTTGGACAAGATATTTTTTTATACACGTTATCTGGTATTTATACACTTTATTTGTTATGTGTTTTATTTATATCAGTGGTATGTGACATCTGGTACAGCTCTCTTAAGGATTGGTTCACACCCAATGCAGTTTGCGTTTAGTCTGTTTTGCAGTGCTTTTGCTGTGCATTTTGCATTTTTTACTCACACAAATTTTATGTTTTTTTTTTAACGTATTTTGCATTTTTTTGGGAGGGTGTTAACTTGTTGCTAGGCAGATGGGCCAAATACCTTGAGCAAAATTTGGATTTAAAAAACCATGTGAAAACTAAGGATATCCCTAACCCTTTGAAGACCCAAAAATCTGGAGCCTACCCTAGAGGCATGAGAGCCTTAAAAACGCATAGAAGTGAACGTGTCCCATAGGAAACTACCGTATTTTTCGCTCCATAAGACGCACCTGACCATAAGACGCACCAGGTTTTAGAGGTGAAAAACAAGAAAAAAATATTCTGAACCAATGGAATCTGCAGACATAGTACAGGGGATGACCAGAGACTGCGGACACAGTACAGGGGATGACCAAGAGTGACTGCGGACATAGTACAGGAGATGACCAGAGACTGCAGAAACAGTACAAGAGAAGACCAGAGACTGCGGACACAGTACAGGAGATGACCAGAGACTGCGGACATGTACAGGAGATGACCAGAGACTGCGGACACAGTGCAGGAGATGACAAGAGGGACTGGGACAGTGCATTTAAATTGGATGACTTAGAAACTGCGGACAGTGCAGGGGATGACCAAAACTGCGGACAGTGCAGGGGATGTCACAGAGCCTGCTGCTACAGATATTATAGCACTGTACGTTAGCACAGTGCAGGGAATGACCAGAGACATGCGGACAGTGCAGGGGTATTGATGACCAGAGACTGCTTTTTGTGAAGGGAATGACAGAGCTGCAGACAGTACAGGCTGGATGACCAGAGACTGCAGACAGTACAGGATTGACACATGCAGACTGCTGGAGACAGTACAGGGAATGACCAGAGACTGCAGACAGTAACAGGGGAAAGACCAGAGACTGCAGGTAGTACAGGGGAGACCAGAGACTGATGGACAGTGCAGGGAATGACCATGATCCAGGAGTGGAAACAGACAGTGCAGGGAGTGACCAGAGACTGCTCTAGGCAGGGCATGACCACCTGCAGACAGTGTGAGGGGATGACCAGAGTGCTAAGAGGCTTTGGGGACAGGGTGGGGAGCGGGTACCTGAATTTGACACAAGGCTCCCACTGGCGGAGTTGACTTTTAATTTTCTTTTATCTTGATATGGCCGGCATCTGGTGTTACAGCCGGGTGCTCACACTGGCAGATATGCAAGAAGCGCTATCTGCTTTGTGAATGGCACGGCGCCTTCTGTTATGTGTTTTATTTATCCCAGATGTGACACCGGTATCATTCACAAAGCGCAGCACATGCGCAGTGGGCACCCGGCTGTCAGAAGCCAGCGCGGGAAGACTGTGCAGTGGAGCGAGGAACAGGTAAGGCCCTGCAGGAGAGAACAGCTGAGCGGCCGGTTTTATGGTATTCTGACATGGTGGCGGCAGAAATACCGGACCGGCCGCTTTACATTCGCTCCATAAAGACGCACTGACATTTTCCCCCCTTTTTGGGGGGGAAAAAAACGTCTTATGGTGCGAAAAATACGGTAAGTTAAATGGACTGTAGTGAGTTTCTGCAAAAAGCACTAAAAAATGCATTGGTGTGAACCAGTCTTTTCAGCACAGCACTATTGGGATATATGGTTTATAGCACCCCAGATTTTTGTGTTTATATGAGTGCTGCTGTGGATTTAGGTTTATTAGAGCATTGAGTGCAACTTTTCTTAAATCAAATATATTAAAGATTTACCAAAGAAGTCCTTTGCTTAGAATTTCAGATTTTGTGGACTTAATTTTAAAATTTGAAAGATGACCATATACAGTTGCAAGAAAAAGTATGTGAACCCCTTGGGATTACGTGGAGTTTTGCATGAATTGGGCATAAAATGTGCTCTGAACGTCATCTAAGTCACAATAGAAGAACACAGTCTGCTGAACATAATACTACACAAAAAATTACATGTTGCCATGGTTTAATTGCACATAACATGTAAACATTCACAGTGCATGGATGAAAAAGTATGTGAGGCCCTAGCTTAATGACTTCTCCCAGAGCTAATTAGAGCCAGGAGTGAGCCAACCTTGACTCCAATCAGTGTGATGATATTGGATGTGTTGCTGACAGCTGTCCTGCCCTTAAAAAACACACACCTGTTTTGGGTGTTTTGGTTTCAAGAAGCACTGTCTGATGTGAACCATGCCTCGCAGAAAAGAGCTCTCAGAAGACTTACGATCAAGAATTGTTGACTTGCATGAAGCTGGAAAGGGTTACAAAAGTATCTCCAAAAGCCTTGATGTTCATGTGTCCACAGTAAGACAGACTGTCTACAAATGGAGAAAGTTTAGCACTGTTACTACTCTCCCTAGGCGTAGTCGTCCTGTAAAAATGACTGCAAGAGCACAGAGCAGAATGCTGCATGAGGTAAAGAAGAATCCCAGAGTGTCAGCTAAAGACCTACAGAAATCTCTGGCACATGCTAACATTTTTGTTGACACATCTACAATAAGGAAAACATTAAACAAGAATGGAGTACATGGGAGGACACCACGGAGGAAGCCATTGCTGTCCAAAAAGAATATTGCAGCACGTTTGAAGTTTGCAAAAGAGCACCTGGATGTTCCACAGCACTACTGGCAAAATATACTGTGGACAGATGAAACCAAGATTGAGTTGTCTGGGAAGAACACACAACACTAGGTGTGGAGAAAAAAAGGCACAGCACACCAACATCAAAACCTCATCCCCACCGTAAAACATGGCGGAGGGAGCATCATGGTTTCGGGCTGCTTTGCTGCCTCAGGGCCTCGACGGATTGTTGTCATTGATGGGAAAATGAATTCCAGAGTTTATCAAGACATTTTGCAGGAAAACGTATGACCATCTGTCCGCCAACTGAAGCTCCGCAGAGGATGGGTGATGCAACAGGACAATGACCCAAAGCATACAAGTAATTCAACAAAACAATGGCTGCAACAGCACAGAATACGCCTTCTGGAGTGGCCCAGTCAGAGTCCTGACCTCAACCCGATTGAAATGCTGTGGCATGACCTTAAGAGAGCGATTCACACCAGACATCCCAAGAATATTGCTACACTGAAACAGTTTTGTGAAGAGGAGTGGTCCAAAATTTCTCCAGATCGTTGTGCAGGTCTGATCTGCAACTACAGGAAATGTTTGGTTGAGGTTATTGCTGCCAAAGGAGGGTCAACCAGTTATTAAGTCCAAAGGTTTGCATGATTTTTCCTCCCTGCACTGTGAATGTTTACATGTTATGTGCAATTAAACCATGGCAACATCTAATGTTTGTGTAGTATTATGTTCAGCAGACTGTGTTCTTCTATTGTTGTGACTTAGATGACATTCAGAGCACATTTTATGCCCAATTCATGCAAAACTCCACATAATCCCAAGGGGTTCACATACTTTTTCTTGCAACTGTATAAGGAATTCTTGCAAGAGTATTGGAAAGGACATTTTGGGGTTGCATACATGCAACAGGAAATCATCTATGAAAGCATTTTATGTCATGATCCTTGATGACATGTTAGGGCCCTGTCGCATATGACATGAGGCCATGAACATAAAGGATTAGCCTACATGGTTGAATGCATTTATGGGATAAGTAGATAGAAGGAGCAGGGGTGTTTTGTGTAGGTGGGCAAAGTGTGTAGCTAAAATTGATCATAGAGAATTGTCTCTGGCTTCTCTTCTTTGAAAAAACCAGTTTGAGGTGAAACACCAAAATTTGCTAAATAATTAGCAAAAGTGCATACTAATCAGGGAGATTGGCCAAAGATTTTGGCATAGCAGAGGATCTTTCCCTTTTTTGGGGCTAATATAATGATATGTTTCCTGGAGCGTCACACTATATATAAGTGTAGTCCATCCTGTATAGTGATTCATGCAGCTGTGATATTTATTAAGAGATTATTTTGCATTATGCATTATTTTGCTTCTAATAAATACACCTGGTTTTAGCAGTATCACACTATGCAGTGTGTTTCATTTCCTATGGTCCTAAAGTTGTATCTATGTAGAGAGATAGGAGGAGGAGGAGGAAGTAAGCTTTTATGGGAGAAGCAGCTGCATTGAAATAATGGAGCTGAGAATATGTTATGTCGATCTTTGAAAAAAGGCAATACATGCCGATGAGTTGCTGTCCTTTAGGGCTTGTTCACACTTGACTGTTTTTCCAACTCTTGCCAAATGCCCGGCGTTTGCAGAGCATTTTTAATGCTCCGCAAACGCCGTATGCGCGGTTTAGCTGCAGTTGCTAGGTGTTTGCCAAATGTTAAAAACACCCCAAAACAACCTTTAATGAAGTTTGAATGGTGTTAACGCTCCGCAACCGCGTCGCAACCACACCGCAAACGCCGGCCGGGCATTTGCGGAGCGGCACCGTAGACTTGAATAGGAGGCTTCAACTCCTGACTCGACCAGAGGCGTCCGTTTTGCCACAACGTGATGCTAACGGTCCCGTTTGAACAGCACCATGTGCTGCAATGTGCAGAATTTTCCCAGGCGTTTGGGAAGCGTTTTTACTGTTTCCCAAATGCCTGTCTGCCGCTTGCTAACAAGGCTAGTGTGAACGTTGCCTTAGAGTAGTGAAGGGATGCATGGATATGTAATTCTCACAATGTATTTAATGTAATTTCTTGTACTTATATAGTGCCGTCAATTTACACAGCACTTTATATATATTGTACAAGTGTAACCTGGACAGTATTATCCTTTAGCTGTGTGGACAGGGATAAACTAAATATTGATTAATACAGAATTTTAGCAGCCATCGTAAAGGAGACCAGTTTACAATGCTCATCTATGGCGTGTCTGCAGTGCAGGGGACAGCCATCTTGGCTGGTTGTGGAGCACAGTGATTGGCTGGTGCAACAAAATGATAGGAAAGAAGGCAACGTCTCAGCAGGATTGAAAGAGTTACAGCAACTTCTATCCCTGTCTGACTTGAACATGACTTTTTCTGAATCAGAGCACATGTCTGGAGATCCAGAAGAGGGTGCCCAGGGTCTGGGAAGAGGCCAGCATCATACAAGTAGATCTATTGTCTTTAGGGAACTGTTGTGCATTCTTCAAGAGCCTCAACTTTGCCAGCCAAATTTTTTTTTTCATCAATTACTGGCCAATGTGGCAAAATATGGACTATTATAGCAAGTTAGTGCTGTCTTTATATACTGTTGCTAGGTAAATGCAGTTTAGTTCTGTTAATTGCTGTTATTCAGAATACATGCAGGTGTTTAACCATATCTCTATCAGAGATATCAGAGCAACTTTATTGTTTTATTGACTGTATAAGTATGCTGCTAATCGCCTTTTCATTTTAGACCATGCTTGACCTTTAAAATATCTCAAGATGTGTCAGTAAGGGCTGGGTAAAAGAGGTGTGGCATCTTCAGTTGTGCAAAGAAACCACAAAACAATTCAATGACTCCTCTGGGGGTAGCACTACACAAAGATTTTTTGTTTTAGTGAAAGAAACACAATTGACTTGACTAGTAATACTTTCTGTATTGGATACTAACACTGATGATGGTTTGATACTCATCTATAAAGGACTGATTTAGCATTTGTTACTAGACTGTATCACAGAGTGAAAACCCATGGTTAGTCTTACGAGTAATGGTGTTTCTAGGAGTCTTCCAGAACAGCTACATTAGCAATAATTGGATGATTGGCTCCACCCTCTACAGGAAATAAAGTCTCACAAACAGTTAAAAGGCCCCTCCCACCCCCTCATCCCCAGTTATTTAGGAAAAGAAAGAACTGCCATCAAAGTACATGAGGGGAAAGTATACAATTCCTGTAAACCCCAACCATCACACCAGAGTAAAGATAGGAGAAAGGTCTTATGGTGGGAAAAAAAAAGGATGCTTTCTTGGAATACTCCTGGGAACATCGTTACCGTAAGACTAACCATGGTTCTCCCAAAGCCTTTACCAGGACAGCTACATGAAAGGATGAACAAGGAGAGCTGGCTCAAGC